CCACGAACTCCACTCTGTTGGCCTCAGTGAGATAATCTAGGCCACTAGGATGAAAATATGTTTCTAAGCCATTTCACTGGAACTAAATTCATTATTCATTCTTTCCACTACACTTACCTCAAGCTAATTTTTTACAGTTCATATATTGCTTGCCTGTAAAATTAGCCCAAATGATGTTTTTCACCTCTGGTGAATAGCATGCCTCTGCTGGAAACCTGTTTCCCAGACAGTTACTTGCAACTGAACAGACCACTCCACTTACGTGGTCCTTGAGAAAACACTTATTAGGACATGGCTTTGTAATTAGAGAACTAACTACAAAACTGAAATCATAACTCTACATTCAAAGCCCAGATCAGAGGCAAATTCCCTGTAGTTTAAATAAAGCCAATTTCCCTAAACCTGGCTTTAGTTTCTGTATTTGTAAAATGGGAATTACAGCATTTAAATGCACAACTGTAGAATAAAAAGGATAATTACTCAGCGTATGTAAAAGGCTATGTAAGTGAAAATCTACTAAATAAAGAACACAGAATCTGAGGTAAGGGTCAAAGACAAATTAATAATGCAGGACTCAACAACCAAGTATATTTACTAAGTTTTGTGATGGGAATAAACAATTTACTTGCCCTTCTGTATCTGTTAAGTACAGAGAGACAAAGGAATCTTGGGTATGCTGTTCCTGACGTTCTTGTCCAAGAACAGCATGCTGTCCTGCAATATTATTTATTTTTAATAGTTTTTGGCAAAGCAAATACAGATTTGGAAGAATCAGCATCCTGATGGATGTGCCAGACCCTCCTTTATCAAAACCAGTTCTGTATTTCCACTGCACAAGCACATCCTTATGCAACACACCTTCCAGCACACCGACTCCACTTATCTCTGTACGAGTGCAGAGGAAAGTCTGCCCATACATTGTATGTTGCAGGCACAGGACCATAAAACCAAAATTGTAGAGTGCAAGCAGCAGCCAAGGAATGACATTCAATTCCAGACAGTGCTTTTCCATGGCCTTGTTACAACGTACATCTCCAGAGCAGCAAAGGGAATTAAACAGCCATCACTGCAGGAGAGCCTGGCTGAAGCCTGCAGAGCTAGGTCAAGGTTCTTCTTCTCCTCTTGGAATTGTGTCACCAAAAGAAAAAAAAATAATAAAGAAGTTGTAGCCTTTTTATGATCAACAGCTGTGTACACCCAAAAAGCAAATGCTGTAATTTAAGAACTGTAGTACCAATCTAGACTGAGAAGCATTTTCATATCACATTAATATAGGTTATAGATGGACAGGTAGCTTAAAGAGTTTCTTCTTTTTGCGTTGTAAGATACAGACTTCAATAATCACACTCCATTTTTTAAAAGCCAAACAGAGGAAAAATATAGCAATAATAAACAGTATTTAGCAGAAAGATGAGGAAGAAAAACAAAGTATATGACAGCTAATACATTTAGAATCATCTTTGTGAGAGTCAGTAAAATTCAAAGGTATGTTGTTTTGCTATAGCTGTTGGCTTTGCAGTCCACAGAAGTATAAGATCCAAGAGATAAAAGAGAGATGAACATAAACATTATTTCTGAGAAAGAGTGGGGGATTAACAGTCAGGCTTAACTGGGCTTACAGTCAGGGTTATTCTCTGAAAAAAAAAAAAAAAAAAAAAGAGAGAATCATGAAGAAGCCCAACAACTAACTTAAGGATGGCATCTAGTTATACTTTTTGTTTAGGTGTAAGGAAATTTTACACTGAAATTATTATTTTTCCCCAGACGCCATGCTCCAGCTAAGTCGCTACTTACTGGAAGAGCTACAAGATGAAGCTTTCCTACACAGTTCAAAACTAGACAAATCTGAAAGGTCCTTTCTAGCCTTTTATGAATCCTTTCATAATTTCACAGTGTAAAATACTCGCACATTACAAAAAAAGGCACTAGAAGACAAAATCAAGCAACGGTGGCAGGAGGCCTGCATGATGAACTAAGAGCTCCTAGGGAAACTGAAACATAAAAAGGAAGCGTACATGAGGTGGAAGTTGAGTCAGGTCACCAGCAGGAATGTGGGGACACTGTCCAAATGTGCAGAGATGGAGTTAGGAAAGGTGAAGCCCACCTGGTGCTGAACCTGGTGAGGGCAACAAGAAGGGCTTCTACATGCACATCAGGAACAGAAAGAAAACTAGGGAAAATGCAGGCACACTGCTGAATGGGGCAGAGCATCAGGTGACAAGGGGCATGGAAAAGGCCAAGGTACTCAATGGCTTCTTTCCCTCCATCTTTACTGGTAATATTTGTGATTTGGGTTTGTGTGGTGGTTTTTTGGTGGCGGGGGAGAGGCGGCAGGGCGGGCTCCTGTGAGAAGCTGCCAGAAGCTTCTTCCCCGGCTGGGAGTGGGCCCCGCCTCTGGGCCAGGCCGAGCCCGCCAGCGACAGCGGTAGCGCCTCTGGGAGAACAGAGTTAAGAGGGGGAAAAAAATCACTGTGCAACAGCAGCCAGAAGAGAGGAGTGACAATAGGTGAGACCCCCAGGTCAGTGCAGAAGGAGGGGGAGGAGATGCTCCAGGCGCCGGAGCAGGGGGATGCCCAAAGGAGGCTGTGACCCCGTGGGAAGCCCACACTGGAGCAGGCTGTGCCTGAAGGACTGCACCCTGCGGAATGGACCCACGCTGGAGCAGTGGAAGGACTCACGCTGGAGAAGTTCATGGAGGACTGTCTCCCGTGGGAGGGACCCCACGGTGGAGCAGGGGAAGAGTGTGAGGAGGAAGGAGCGGCAGAGACAACATGTGATGAACTGACCACAACCCCCATTCCCCGTCCCCCTGCGCCGCTGCGGGGAAGGAGGTAGTGAAGTTCAGCCCAGGAAGGAGGGAGGGGTGGGGGGAAGGTGTTGTAAGATTTGGTTTTACTTCTCATTATCCTGTTTTGGTTTGATCGGTAACAAATTAAACCGATTTTGGTTTTTTTCTGGAACCAGAGTCTGTTTTTTGCTCGTGACCATAATCGGTGAGTGATCCCTCCCTGTCCTTGTCTTGACCCATGAGCTCTTCATTGTATTTTCTCCTCCCCATCCCACTGGGGGGGAGCAGTAAGCAAGTGGCCTCACAGTGCTTTGTTGCCAGCTGGGCTTAAACCATGACAGTCCACCAAATCACAGGTCCCCGAGACCACTGGGCAAGTCTGGAGCAAGGAGGAGTTACTCTCAGTGGAGAAGGATCAGATTAGAGAACATTTAAACAAACTAGAGAGACACAAGTCCTTGGACCCTGATGAAATGCACTCATGAATGCTAAAGGAAGTTGGCCAAGGTCATTGTGAGGCCACTCAATAATATGTGGAATGTCATTTGATCAGGAGATGTTCCTTATGATGGGAAGAAAGCAAGTATTGTTCATGTCTTCAAAAAGGGCAAGGAGGAAGAGGATCAAAGAACTAAAGGCCAGTCCAGCTACACCTCTCTCCCTGGGAAGGTAATGAGCAAATAATTCTGGAAACCATTTCCAAACATAACAATGACAAAAAGACATGACTGACAGCAGCCAACATGGATTTACAAAGGGGAAAACCATGCCTGATCAACCTGTTAGCCTTCTATGATGACTGGCAATGGGCAAAAACTGAAACACAAGGATTTCCATTTAAACATAAGAAAAAATTATTTTGCTGTAAGGGAGACTGAACCCTGGAACAGGCTGTCCAGAGAGGCTGTGGAGTCTCCATCCTTGGAGATACTCAAAACCCAACTGCACAAGCTCCTGAGCAGCCAGCTCAGTTTGACCCTGTTTTGTGCAGGGGGGTTGGACTACACAGTCTCCAGAGGTCTCTTCCAATCTCAGCGAGTCTGTTAAAAAGCATTAAAAAGTCATTTTCTTTCAGTGGACTCTGTTCTGACATCTTTCACAGATGTTTAACTCAGGCGCCTATTAGTTTGGGCTTGTAAGTGATTTATCTGTGCTCCTCTCAGCCACCTCCCACTCAGATTTGTCACTAAAAATCCACAGTCCTTCCTCTATCAAAGCTGTCCCAGACTTGGAGATTTCAGGGATTCTTTAACTTTGCATGCATGTTACACAAAGGACATATACTTTTCTATTTCACAGAAAACATTCAGACATCTGGCTCAGAAAGGTATTTCAATATAATCCCAATGACTTACCTATTTAAATTTAGCAATGAGCTAGTACTTTGCAGAACTGGACTTTTAACACACAGGGACCAAACTAGCACTTGCTGTGGTCCTTGAACACTTCCTAAAACCAGTGTGAGCACTAGGAGTCAATGGGGCTCAGAGTCCCTCTCAGGGTCAGACTTTCACCCCAAAATACCACACCTACAGGTTGATAGATATGTACGGTACATATACCGTATGGTGTAAATATATAAACACACACATGCATCCATACACCCCTCAATCCCATATATATACATACATATATATGCTCCTCAGAAGAGCACAGAAAGATACTACAATTAAGAGCAAGTTGAGTACAGAGTGCCTTAGCAACAGTGTGTCAGACCTACATTGGTAAGCCATGGAAACAGTTTCAAATTAGAGAAATTTGAAGCTGATGACATAAATGAGGGCTCAAGTCAAGGGGAGTCCTGGCTCCGAACTCAACAGTGGTTTCATTCTTAGTCTCTACGCTCTCCAATTAGCCACACTATGAGGTGTGGCAAAGCAGCACCACAATCAACTACCGGGGAAGAAGGCAACTAAAAATCACAGCAGGGACTTTCTGGTGTACTCAGATAGGGAAACCAAGGTCAAGCTGGATCAATGTACTATATAGATCTTGAATGACTATCTTTTCTTTTTGCTTGAAAAAAGCCACAGATGAAACCATCATACAGGAAAAACCCAGATAACATTTATCATCACTAAACAACTGCTATGCAGAATGTCATTACTTTTACTATATGAGGTGAGATAAATTTTATCCTGCTATCAAATGATAAGTATTTACAGCTCTCCATAATGGTTTACTAGGAAAAAAGATTGTAGAAGCGGCAAACCTTTAAGCCTTTCAACATCTGATATACCAGGAACTGGATTCGGTCTTCAGTTAGTTTCTCGTGCTTCATTATCTTACTCAAGTCTGTTCCCATAAATGGCATGACAAGGTAACTTAGGAAAAGAACAAAAAAAAACAAAAAAAAGGAAAGAAAAAAGGACAGAATAACTTTAATTTGTTAAATAAATTGAAACATAATTGTATGTTATAGTTCAGTGACAATATTAAATTATAAATCATTTCATTTACCAAGCAATTCCCTTATCATCCCCCTGCCCTCCAAGTTTCTCTGGTTTTATCTGTTTTGTTATGATAAAGAGGTATTGCCCAACCCTGTCACTGAGTATGGAAAGTTGCTAGTTATCAGAAGTGTGCAGATTCTGAACTAGTTAGAAAGAACATAACCAAGAGCCATGTGATATCTCAGACACCTACAGAGAAAACGAAGACATTCACGCAATGCTATGTATCTCACAATCATGATCATAGCATTGAACTAGTAGCAACCAAACTGCCTAGATGGTTCATTTAAAAAGACAAGGTCAGAGCTAACAGAAATAGAGATGATCAAATTAGAAGGCAACAATAACTTCCATTAATTTTCACCTGGGATCTTTGGTAGTTAGTACTGGTAAGGGATGCTAGCAATAGAAAGCTTGAGAATGCCATCCTGGCACTTCAAGGCTAATCTTTACTTAAGATCTAAAACTGTTCTTTACATTGCTTGTAGTAAACTCATCCTTCAGAGTCTATTCCTAAAGTCAGGTCTGAACAGAGCCAGAGCCAGAGCCAGTTGTATCTGGCACCTGAGGATAAAGTCATCAGTTTTCCTCTTCTTATGAAGACAAGCAGAAGCATTTTCATGAAGGGAAGAATTAGATATGATCATTGTTTCATAGCTACAGATTTTATTATTTAGACTTAAATGGGTTTTGTCTGGTTAAAATATGCAAATTATAATTCTGCTGATTTCTACTATTAAACCTGTATGAAAGTTTTATTTATTCTATTAGAATTGTAACTATAAACAAAATAGAAACTGAATATAAAGTCATAAGGGAGATGGGGCACTGATTTAGTCACTAAGACTTATAAGTAATATTTTCAACATTTCCTAGGTACCAAACATTTTTTCCCACACAAGCATGAGCAGGGAAAGGACTCTTCTTTCATAAAGTAGAAGGGACTTTGTCTTCAGTCTTTGTTAATACATTGACTGGTAGAGTAGAGGAGCAGGAGAGCAGAGTGGCAAGTTGAGGAGGAGCATGCTCCCCTCTAGACAGGAGGGCTAGGAGTCAGCTAAGAAACCTCAGGTCTCAGACAAGACCAACCTTAGAGACAGGCTCTGGTGAAACCACCCACCTCGCTTCTGCCGCTTCTAACCACAAATCTGCTTGAATCTGATCTTTATACAATAGGCCACAGACAACATCTCATGACTAGTCAGCAAAAAGAAAGTCTCCCTCAAATTATCCATTTCACCTTAATTCACAAAAGCTGTTTCTCCATTTTAATTTTAAATGTACACACATCTACCTCTCCTCATCTCTCACAGCTTGCCCAAAGTCTTGAAAGCAAATTTTGCCATAGGCTCACCTGTTGCAGTTTCAGTTACAAAAATGCCCCTCCTATTTGACTTCCACCTCCAAAACTTGAAGGAAGATTTTAGGGTCCCATTTAAAACACAATGCTTGAATGCTAATCATATACATGTGCATTTTATCCCATATGCTACGTAAAATGCTAGCACAATAGGCAATATAGACAACATCCTTTTTGACTCAATGATTTTGACCCAAATCATCATTAGGAACACAGGATCCATGTTTTCTGTACTTAATTTTCTACATTTTCCCATCAGATAGCTTGCTTTGTTAACATATAAATATGCAAGGTTGTTTTTGAAACATAGCTACATTAGATGAAATCCAGAACAGTTCTACGAATGTAACATGAAATCTACATTAAGCCCAACAGGACTTCTGACTACTGTTTATCTAGTGACTCTAATTCACAAAAATTGCAGCAGGATCCACAAGCAAAACAACAGACATGCTAAATATCTTGAGTCTGAGATGCTGCAAAAAGATCAGGGAGATGTATATGCCTGGTGCTAGAAATGATCTATATCCTGTGCTGTTTGGACCACTGGACTGGGAAACCATTCAGGGAGTACAACAAACCACAGCGCAGATAACCACTAAAAAAATTCATCAGCATCGGCAGTTTTGAATTAATCCTTGAATTAGGATGGAACACACTGGAGATGTGTTGCGTAGCAGGCATCATTTTCAGTCTACTTGTTTGGGTTAAGAATTGTCTTATCATTTGGGCAACCTGGGCCTTAGGGTAAGAAATCAGTACTTGAAACTGCCATTTACTAAGAGCTGAAAGAAGTACACACCGTATAAGATAGGTAGCTGGTTCTAATGACAATCTGAAAACCTCAACCTACCAATTCTGAAGTTGCACTTAAGAGTTATATTAAGTTGAAATTCAGAAAAAAAATCCATGAAGCAACAATTTTGGAATTCTCCATTTAAAAAAGCAACAACCGTTCCTCCTGCACAAGCAATGATGCCCTGCTCGCAAACACAAACAACTCAGAACTTACAAGTCATTAAACTTCTCCAGTGTTACGTCTGGTGTGAACACATCCAGTATTCCAATGACCTAAAAATAAGGGAGAGGGGAGAAAAAACAAAACATGGATTAATACTGATTTAACACAAAAAATCCTGAACTGCATAATAAATGAAAAAATATAATAAAAAATAATTTCCATAGTGAGACATTAGCTACAGGCATAAAGATGGCAGAAAGAATACCTAAAGTAGCACCTAGGAACACCAGGATTTGTTATGTGTTAAATTTTGTAACTCTGAGGGCTGTTTGACCCTGTGATAAAAAAAATGTATTTACTTGAACAAAAAGTTCAGAAGCTAACAGTTTTATGTAAGAGGAGAGAGCATCTTTTTAACTTGAACCACTGAAGTGTTGAAAATAAACCAGACAAATCGGTTTATAACCTGAAGCAGTCATAAGTGCTATTCACTTAGCTGGGCCTGCTGCCTGACAATGAAGAACACTTTAAACATCTTCTAATTTCACTAACAGTGTAATTTAGGTACATAGACTACAATATCTAATGGGGAGTACAGAGAAGAAACTAGAACTAAACTGTTTTTATAAAGAGTAAATTATCAAGAGCTTAATATGATTTACTATGCCTTATACCTTAGCTTCTCCTTAAGAGTATTTTTTGTCAAACTAAAGCATTCTATCACTCAACAGAGAAATAACAATCTAGTAAAATGGTTTTCCCACCACAGTTTTTTCTACTAGTATGGTTTTCAGCAGAGCTATACCAACTGACTAGATGCGTTATCATAACTGCCAATGCTTCTTTCAAGCCCATTAAACACTGAAAATTAAATATACAGAACCCGATGCTCCAAAAGACGTAGCTGGAGTTGTCTAAAGCCAGATCTCAGCATGGATGCTGCTTAATCCAGGCAGTGCCTAAATAGCACAGGCTTTTCAAGTTGCTTCTTTTCTACTCCTACTACTAATTCAGAACCATTTCTGTCTGCTCACAGGAAGCCTCCCAAGCCCTGGACTGCTCATGGTGTTTCCCAGGTGCAGGCTGCCTTGACAATAGGGGCACGCAGGGGTTTGCTGGAAAGCAAGCTAAAAGACTAATAGCCTTTATAACTTTGTTCAGACCTATCTCCACGGCCATACAATTTAAGCACATCGGATTATACATCAAACTAAAGCTGTATAAAATTAGAAACTGCAAGAAAGGAACTAGGGGTAATGGTGTATTACGTTGTCTGATATTACCATCAAAACACTAAAAGGAGGACTGAAAAATCCACTTTGATAACAGTCAGGATGGATTTTGGACGTTACTACTACGTCTTAATTACTCCACAAAACAAGAGTTCTTTAAAAAAAAGTACATGTAAGTAAAGAGAAGCAAGAGCAGAAAAGCAGGAAAAAAATGCAAGAAAAGAAAGGCGACTTCCTTTATAAAAATCTCCAGCTGTGATGAAATCCTTACTGCATGTATTTTTATCTTTTCCACATTCAGGACGAATGACTGCAGTTAGCCTGGATATTATAAAAATGTCATAATGATGAACAAGATAGAAAAACTAATAAAGACAAAGACAGAAAATTGCAACTCTTTCTTTGTAGCCACACATATGTTTGAAAAAAAATCACTAATAATATTTTCCCAAGGACTGTTATACAAAACTAATTAAATAAGAATAATATAACTACCATAAAACAATGTTGTTATTATTTGAAGTAATAACCTCAGTGCTAACGTTACGGCAAGAATTTTTTTTTAATTATTTTTTTGCACAACCATTTTACGTAAGGTTTTCCATTTCTATATGGAGGCAGGGAGAGAGAGGAATTAGGAAGTTGTATGTGACATCAGTGGAGCATAATGCAGCTCTACGGGCATTTCCTAAGGCAGTGTGTGCACACACACACAGAGCATACACAGCCAGAAAAGTTGTGTGCTCTCCAAAGGTTTCAGTATTAAAAAGAAGGAAGTTAACGTTTTAACAGTAATCTTATCTAATATGCACTTCTTTCCCTATTAAGCCCCACTTTTTCAGAAGTCCTGCTTGTTTTCCTCAAGGAGGTATTTCCATGCCTTCATTTACCTAAGCAAGAAATGTAGGAAAATAAACTCCATCACGTCTGAAAGTGAAAGACACAGGGACGCCACAATAAAAAGAAGGGACACAGCAGAGAATGAAATAGGGTGGCTGCTGTACCGCATCCCTCTGTGCACCAAGGTGGCATCAGGCGCCCGCTGTGAAACACAGGAGCATGAAGAACACGTTTCCACGAAGAACACACCAGCCCCAAAACACACTTAATGAAGTTCACTAACATTTTACTGTTTCTCTATTAAAGTAAACAGAGTTCCCTGTAGTTAATGCTGCCTGATATACAATATATATTACTTCTGAGGTAAGGCTGCAAACTCACAGACACAAGCTTATCATTGCAGCAAATCCTCTGCAGTGAAGAATACCACCGAGACCAACGCTTAGCTCCCACTGAAGGGAATTTTAAATAATGAACCAGAAAACTCTTTTAACATGCCAAGGATTTCACAATACTTCTTTTCCTGCTCTACAAAAGAAGCTTTCTAAAAATCCTGAAATCCATTTTAGTGTCCAAAATGGTAAGACATACTAATAGTTAATAAATTTAAATATAAAAGTGAGGGACCCATTTCCATTTCCTCAGTGATCTTTATTTAATACCTGTGCTTTGGGATGATTTTCCTGTACTGGAACAGACTCATTAATATTTCCATTTAGGTCACAGCTTTCTGCAGATATGTTAAGCACAAGGGGGTACAGGATAAAATAAATTCTCCGAGGAAGATACAACTCCAGCTACCTCTTCAGGAAAAGGAAAAGAACTGGACAAAGCGTAGGAAAGTCCCTCCTTCATAATATCATGGAAAATCCTGTCTGTCTAAAAGGCTCTCAACTAAATACAGTATTTGTAAAAAAACTTTATGATACTGAAGGTCCCAGCACAAAAGTAAGCCACCGTAAAACAATTACAAGAATTGTTCATTTTTTCATAGTGTGGCCTATACGAAATGTAACAGAGGTATCTCTGAAACCTTCTGTAGCTCTATTTTTTTGGTGTTAATTCAACACATTTACTATCAGAGATGGAAGCACAGCTGAGGAACCAACCCAGTACACTCTGCGATGGGAATGAAAAGCATCTGTGGAAACCAGCAGCAGCACTGCCCTTTCAGGGTCTCATTTTTTCCCCCATTAACTCTCCCAAATTTCTCAAATTAATTAGCCCACAAAGGATGCACCTTGTTTCCTACCGCCCACCTGACTGAAAACCAACGAGGATTTCTGCAGCCTCCACTGAAGCACCTTTCTTGCTCGTATCTCAAGGAGAGAGTGTAATACTGTGTCTCTCCCATCTTCCTGCACAGCAAAGCCACAGTAACAGCAAAACTACCCGACTACCAGTTTAACGTGTTTTCCACAGGTATGCCTTTGTTCAATATCTTTACTTTGTTGATTGTGTCTCTTCCCTACGAAGCCAGTGGGGGGTGGGTGGCAGTATCTCCAGCCTTTCTTATCCCTATCATCTGTCTGTCCCTCCCCCCCCCCCCCCCTCCCTGC